CATGTGCAAGCGCTAGCGTCGCTGTCTCGGATGAGCGGTGCTTCGATAGGTAAAAAAAAGATGCGCCAGACTACCGCCATCCGCGCTGTAAGCTTGGTACATCTCGATCTTACTGTGCCCTTTTGTTACCCTACGTACCTTACGTATCGTTCGCCCGCTTAGGCAGTTTCTGGACTGTGTAGCGCCAACTTTTTGACTTAGCTGTACCCTATTGGTCGACGGTAACGCAGCATTGAAGAGAGACACTCGCTAAGTGCAGTAGTATTAATTAAAATTTCATTTGTCGCTATTACCGACCCCTTACGCATGGCGAGGTATGGCAAGTTGCCTGATGCCATCAGCTCAGGTCATACAACAAATTGGAATCTACATAAACCAAAAATTACGTGTGCACAAGAGCTTTTGCTACAAAAATGCTGCGTTTCTTCTTATTTGTAACCAAACACTTACGTGAATTGTCTTAAATAACCACTTCCTTCTTGTACATATTATTGTACAAAAAAAGTATAAGCTAGAAGCTCTATAAAAGTATAGTACCTCGACATGCTCAACGATGTTTCTGTTAAATGGCGGGCTTATATAATTTCGCGATTCGGTTAGAAGGCTTTCTATGAACCAGTGTTGGATTGCAAATCTCGACCCGCTAAGAGCTAAAGGAATTTACTCCCTTCATTCGTAAAGCGCCACGCATTCATAATCAACTCTTTATAACATGTGCTTAAGATACCCTATAACATCCAGGATCGAATTGGCTGCCGTTTGTAACACTGATAAGTATGATTTAGAAATCATGAAGGGCTATGGATCCGAGGGACAGGAATGATTCAATTACAGAAATAAAAAAGTTGTTTGCATTGACGTCGTTGTATAAACGCTTGAGGGGAACTTCGGGACATTTTTATCTATAACTATGGAACAGATATCAAGTAAGGTTTATACATGAACCTTTGTAAGACGTTTCGTCATGGCGGTCAAACTGTCTTAATAAAATATTGCACGCAATTAACGAGGTGATCATTAAGTAACTGGTAACCAACTTTTACGATACGTCCAATCTTAAATAATAGCTTTTCTACGCTAAATCTCAAAGCCGACCAAGGATTAAGCTAAAAAAAAAAATGTTTCCGGTAATCTTACATTTTCAACGAATCTTTCCATCCAGTCCAACGAAAGGTTAGCCAAGGGATTTAGTCTTCAAGAAGTCGCGGCTGCCTTGTAAAAAGAGAAACACTTTTTGCGAATAGACAACATAATACCGATGAGAACTTGGAAACCCAAGAACCAATCGTGCGTTGGAAAATAACGATCAACTAACTAACTTGAACTTATAAAAAGAGATATTTATTTTGATATGTTTCCTCGACATACGGTGCTAATAATAAAAGTTATGACTAAAAATGAGTAATGATAGTGCACTAACTACAATGCAACATTCACGTAAAGGAACAACCTTATTATGCAGTACCCTGCTTCATAGTCAAAAGTTCAGGATCTTATCTTGGGATCGACATGGGTTCAGGACGATAATCTCGTTTATCTATTGTTGTCGAGGATGTTGTGCTGTACAGTCAATACGTGTTATATTGACACTAAATCGAACAGGCAATTTTTCGTAAGAACAAATTGTTTGAGAAGTATAGATGGGGTGGGATTGCTTGAAATCTTGGGAAGTAATCGCATCTTTAACTGTTAATATTGTTTGGATATTGGTATCGGATCTAATTTTCAAGACAAAGTTTTTTGTAACGTTTATTATTTCTAGTTCATAGGTTGTTGTTCATAGACTATGAATACTGCTGCAACATTTATATAGCAATAATCCTATTGTTATACAATTACCTATGCGTTACTTAAGCAGGCTAAAAGGATGTGTTGAGTATGACTTTCATTATTACCATTATTATAAATAAACGTTCCTATTATTACTACACTAGTCTAGCAATAATAATAACAGCACCTGGTTCAGGGTAGATTTCTGAATTACACACTTCATTTATTAAGTTCTTAGAGTGTTGCGTCCATGACAACGAATTACTTCTTCCATCGGCTCATTTTTTTTCGGCAGCTTCGTCATCTAATTATTCTTTCCCGCTGTCTGTATCTTCAACATATAGCGCGCGACTTTCCCTATATATTTCCTTTCGCTTTCTTTCGTTCTTTTCCCTGTCTGTGTCTCTCTCTCTCTCTCTCTCTCTCTCTCTCTCTCTCTCTGTGACATTTCCACTGTCTATCTCTATTCTTCCCAACTTGTATCGTCTGCACATGTTGTATTGTTGCCGTCTGCTCATGTTTATAGCTCATCATTGTTATCATTAATGTGCCCGCCTCATTATCTCTGTACTGTTTCGTTTCGGCCATCATCTGCTTCTTCTCAAGCACGTGTAGCTGTGTGTTGTAACGTCTCTTGTATTGCATGCTATGTCTGTATGAATGCGCTCGTGTTGTGCTTGTAATTGATTACTTCAATATCGTCTGCTGTTGTTGTCATCATCTGCATTTAGGACACACAGATTTACTTGATGTAGTAGTAGTAAATGTTTTCTTGTTGTTTTTGTGCCGTTATGTGTATCGAAGATTTTGCAATTGTGGCCCCCGTAGTTACTACCACTAATACTGCCGTCTTATCGTGATGATTTTGCTTCGTTCGGTAACGGATTGTTTTTATTTGTATTGTGACCAGGCTTATAGCAGCCGCTGCATGTTTTATTCATTGTTCCTCTGTCAGTCTGATTTCCATAATAGCACGGATGACTACTCCGTCGATGCGCTTGTTGTATTTTTTTTTTTCTAAAATTAGCAATGCCCATATTCTCGTCAAAATTTTTTCCAGGTTACCCCTATGTTCTTGCATTATTGTTATAATTTTTGATACGTACATTTTCCATTCACATGTTCTAGTTAGTCTTATATCTCCTAAGCCTTAAATATACAAACAATACTCCAACATCAATATGCGCACTTAGCTGTTGTCTGTTTGGATTGAACTCTGTGGTTTATATATATGTGCGTATCGCGTTGTCTTGTCTCGTTTCGCTCCACTCTGTCTGCAGTATATAGCGACGTAGTATTATTGTCGTTGACTATATGATTCTTACTTGTGTAATATATAGAGATCGCTGGTCTGTTATATTCTCTTCCTCTCTCTCTCTCTCTCTTTCTCACTTATTTAAATTCCATCTGTTTTTTTAGTTCTGTGTGCCCATTTTTATTACTACCCCGTGCATTTGTTAGCTTTCGCTCATTCTGCATGAAACTCTTCTTTCTTTCTTTCTTTCTTTCTATTCGCTTTGACCGAAGAACGAAGTTAAGCGCCGTTATCTGCCACCATTCGTAGTATGATCGCCTAATAGATCCAGTCATACTAGTACTAAATGTTGTTGTTGTTGTTGTTGTTGTTGTTGCTATTGCTGTTATTGTTGTTGATGGTGGTGTCGTCGTCATCGTCGACGGCAGTGTGCGTCCATCCATGTATATGATATTTCGTTTAGGGTAAGTGTGTGCTGTTGCAGTTTTTCTAATGGAGGAAGGCAACTAAGCAAGTTGTCTGTCAGACGACCCGAGCCCCTTAAGTACCGTTGACCGCACCACCGGACCGCGTCTCGTTTCTTTTCTTCGCTCGCTGAGATTTTGTTTTTCTTCGCTTCTTTCGCTAGCCCAGTGTTTCGTTTATTGTATACCAGTATTGTTTCGCTATGACGTTCGAACATCTCTCCACCCGGCAGTGATTTGCTACAAACCGAGCAATCATCATCATCAACGCTCATCATTATCAGCAGCAATATTCAATCAGTCGTTTCGTTGAACTCAGCAATCACGCACGGTATATCTCTGTCTCTTTTCCGCATTCTTACCTTCATTGTAATTATTGGTGTTATTATGTCTTAGCTCCTTGTTAGTCCGTCTATTATCGTATCATGTCAGTGTTATTATCATCGTCAAGCTCATTTCACCGGCTGTAGGTTCACGATTTTGCTTCGTGTTCATTTCCTGCCACTCTTCTTTTCACTAGCATCATCATTTCACAATGCAGTTTCACTACACGTCGCGAGCGTTTCTCTTCAGCCACTTGTTTTATTACCGTTACTATTATCGTCACCGTCATTATTGTTTCCATTATCATTGCAATCCCCATTTCCATATGGTAATAACATCATTATTTTTGTCACTATAGCTGTGTCTAGCTATGTTCTTCTAGAATTCTTGGCGTAGCAGAATTGTCACCATCATCATCATCATCATCGCCATCATCGTCATCATCATCATCATCATCATCGTCGTCATCATCACCATCATCACCATCATCGTCGTCGTCGTCGTCGTTAATAAAGAGTGATGATGACGATGACGATGATGATGATGGTGATGACGATGATGATGATGATGATGATAATGATGATGATGATGATGATGTAATTCATGCTCATCGTGGGTATATAGTCACTCATCAACTCATCATCATCATCATCATCATCATCATCATCATCATGACCCATTATCCTTATGGTGATTATTATTGTAAATAACTCATCATTTATTAGTATTATTGTTATATCTCCTGATACACGTTTATTCTTCGCGCATTATGTTATGCTACCATTATTAAACTTAATATTTTCGCTCTATGGATGAGTCAGTCACCGATCTCATCTGAGAGAGAGAGATATATATGTATATATATATATATATATATATATAGATAGTCATTCTTGCCGCTGTAGCTAACGCTATGATATTTACTCATATATAATTATGATCCGGTCACGCCACCGTGTTATCGTCAACACTACTGGATATTATTGATCTGTACGCACGGTGGCTGTCTGCTTCGGGTTGTGGTTAGTTCGCTGTTATCCTACTATAGTGTGTTGTTGCTTTGATCTCTGTGATTGTTATCGTTGTCACTAAGATTGAGAGTTAGCCTAAATACTATTGATGATGTCCGTCTACGACGTCAGCGTTACTATTCGAGTTTGACGTTTTTACTTAGTTAGTTTTACTAGTTATCCTTTGAAATAGCAAAAAAAAAAAGGACTGTTCACGCCAAAACCTGATTTTGACACGGTAATTGGATAGTATCGTTGTTTTACAGCAAACTATTTTACAGTATTAGGCTTCATCAACATGGCACCTTGAGAGACCACACACCAGGACGCCGTAATGACTTCATCACACTATGTGGCGATCTCTGATATACAGACTTTTAGCTTGCTTTTTTCTATTCCAGCTAATTCCCCGCTTGTTCCTGCCCAACGGTATCCGAAGCGGCAGCTATCAACAGCCGTTGCTTGGTTGTTGGGTTGAACTATAAGATCTGGAGTATTTCAGCTGCGGTATTTGCTGAAGCTGGACACTACATGTCTGCTTATCAATCTGCACGTTCGCTGATTTTGGGAAGTGACCAACCGGGTTCAGTGTATTGGTTTCCTTTTTCGTCGTTATAAAAATAAACAGAATTGACTTTTTTTTTTCTTCTTCTCATTTGTACAGAACAATATTACTGTTGGTAGTCGACAAATACAGCATACACCGTTGGCTGCCAAAGCAATGTGGAGGAGTCATTGTGCACTTTGCTTAATTTTTCCGTAGCTCCGTTAAACTCAAGCTTTATTGAGGTTCTAACCTCATTCCTGGGTAAAGTAGCATCCGCATGCTTGGAAAGAAGAGTTGCAACGTAATTCGACCTTGCAAGCCCAAATAAATACACTGATGCGAAGGCCACGTACCTTTCATGCGAATGCAGTTGGGCGGTCTAGATAGCGTTCCTTCGATCGGAAGATTCCTTCCTAGCTTTCGATAGCTACGAGCTAAGGAAGTTTACACCGGGTCCAAATGCTTTGGGTAATTTTCAATTTTGTCCGGCTTTGCAGCGAAGCTTCCTTTACCTCCCACCGCTATATGCTACTTTTTCTGGTGGCCTTAGATGGAGATGCCACCGAAGCGCACCAAGCCGCTGGGCCCCAATTTTCTAGTCAACGAAAACCCGCGACAATGGATGTAATCAAGAGGATGACCTGCTTAGGACAGCTCCGTACAATATCCAAGCGACGCAAAGCCACTATTAACCGCTAAACCACTATATCACTCCTCAATAAACATTTTCGCCAAATGCACGCTCACTGCTAAATAAACTGGGAAAATCAGAAAGATGGAGAAAAACTACACATCTTACTGACGAAGACGCCTGAGCAAGATGAAATAAATTAATGTAAATTTGTTAATTAATATCTGCTTTCGGATCAATAATATTATAATAACAGTGACAAGTCTTAACAACGAGGATAAAATTCCTCCTAAATAAATGCTCCTAAATAATTTTACTATCGTTTGAAATAAATAAACAAACATGACTAAATATGGCGAGACTCAGAGGGATAATACATCTGATTGTACTACATATAGAATAGTTATCTTCGATTAACTCAAAACAAACAGAAACATCTAGCGCAGTCGATCCAGATCGCTCTTTTCGTAAGAACACTATATATCAAGGGGAATAGTAATAACAACTCTATCAATATTTTTATGTATATGTTTAATTACAGTTATAATTATATTCGTTCTATGTTTTGTATAAATTACAATTTAGGCTGGGAGCTGCTTTTATGTGTGGTGGTTCGGTCGACGGTTGATCTGTATAGGTTCAAAGATGTATTTGGCTGTCGTGTTTCCATTATCAGTTGTTTACGTTTTTAGGTGCGCCGTCTATGTGAGATAACAGTCATATGTAGGGCGCAACTAAAAATCATCGTCATGCGCGCAGTTGACAAAAAACGAAAAGCAGAATATACTAATAATAATAATAACAACGATAATAGTAATAACTAGATCTTTGGAGGATTGAACGCTTAATCACACAAGCTGTTGTCATAATGCCACTAGATCTTTGTTTACAATAATAAACCTACTGTCTTTAATCAATTTTCAAATCGTTGTCGCTCGCTCATAGAGCTCTCAGTATGGCTTTGTCTGACTGACGGAGTTGCTTCGTCACACGTTCGTTTGTCATGAGTTAGTAAGCTGGTTACAGGAGACACGTAGACCCACACAGACTGTACGGTTTAAAAAGGCAAGCTAACGACCAAAATGTTTGTAAGCACACACACACACACCGCGGAAAAAATGCGCTGCTACCTGATAATCAACGAATATACTCGCAATAAGACACGATGCGTCCATTCGCTACCGCATCGTAGCACGTAATCTGTGTTTATGGTGATAATCGTCTGTTAGCGCTTTCTGCTTTGGGATATGACTCTGCTTTAGTCTGCGTGTCGTCTGTAGATCAACTGGGCATTATTATTATTATTGTTGTTGTTTATGTTTATGTGTGGATTCGGCATTTTTGTCTGTATGTCCTGGTTTAGTGTGTGTTCGTGCGTGGGCGGTTATGTTCATTTTGTTTATGCTGCGTGATATATTTGTTTTGTACAGATTGTGGTATGCTTCATTCGGGTGTAGTATATGGCTTTTGTGTTGTATACTATATGTCTCTATGCGGTAATGAGGTGCGTATGGCGGTGTGAGTATGTAATAATAATAATAATGAACTGATCATAATCCATATCTTTGCAACAAGGGCTGTCTCAACCGAGACGTACTAATATTTTTGCTATTGTAGTATAGCTCAATCGTTATATCAGCGTTATTGTTATTTCAGTATCTTATCTTATTCGTATCATCCATAATTAGTGTCTTATATTCATCCGTTTCTTTCAGTCCGTCTCGTTTTCTCTCGCACACATTTTCTCTGTCATATATCGTTCTCAATTTTTTTAGTCATGCTGTCCTTTCTTGCCACTATATATATATATATATATATATATATACCTCATCGATTCCGTCGTCTGCCATAAACAGTTTATTTGTATGTTGTTGTTGTTGTTGTTGTTTCTTTTCATTCGTTTTTTACGCTCTAGACCGGCGGAACTGCTCGACAGCTCTCCGAAACGGCGAGAAATATTTCGTGTGTCTCGCAGCGCTTCGATTTGTTACAGCGGTTCATCTCGAAGATCTACTATTAATTGGCCTCTTAATTTGAGAGACTTTTTCCTCTGCCATATTTATATGTCCCAGTCTGATACACTCCTTTTCACTTGAACCCTTCTCCGTACCTGCGTAGTTCGCCTTCACCATTTCACTCTACTCAATTATGGTAACCATGCTAATAATATTAGTAATTATTATCAATATAATCATCATGGTAACAATAATCATATAATAATGTTACACATGTGTATATTTATACTGTAAATTGTTGTTGCTTCTAGCAATGTCCTTAATTACTATATATTTTATGGCAAAGAACGAAACACCGTTACCTTCGAGCTTGACTATGGTTGTTCCTGTTAATACGGAGGTATTATGATGACATGGAAGCATCACCGTGAAATTATTACCGTTTGTCATGTAATAATGAGTCATCATGTCATCGTTCAGTACTCTCATCGTTGTGTTTCTGGCTTCCTTATTTTATCCTTCCCCTTCTGCATTTTCCTTTTTTGCTCTGACGCCTCATTGTTCATATCATTATTTATAATAATACTTATTTCCCATCATTCATATCGTGATCAACCTTCACTCAAGCATTCCACTTAGTTATTTCTCTTATTATTTACCAGCGTGTTATATAGTGGGTCATCATTTCTTTTCTCTTGATCGACCTTATCATCTATATTAACTTAATATAGTTGTTACCTTATAATAATTATAGCTATTACTACTTAATTGTAAAGAATCATGCGATGATCGTTGTGGCGTACGACTTCGCTGACTAGTATAATACAATAGGGGGTGTAACAGAGACCTCGGCAGTTTTGCGGAAACGCCACAGTTTACTATCGGGTTACGACCCACAGGCAATCGATCTGCGCGCGTTCACCCTTCTTCCCGTGGTGTTGGTTATACAGCATAACGGGTGCTGAGCGTAGCCGGCGCCAACAGAATGCCCTTGAGGGTGTGCACCGGATATGGATGCAGGATCCTTCCAGATCGAGTCGTGAGAAACATTGTTCTGTGGCGAAGATTTCGGTGATGACGCCGCACTGTATTGTAACGTACCGCATTGTACGAGGTACGAATATCCGTCACCGAGGTGTCCATTTCTCAAGGCGCAGCGTTGCCGCCAACGTTCCGTTCATGAGTCGCATTGCGTTCTTCGTCTACGTCCGCTGATTTTGGTATAATTTCCATTCGCCTTTCGTATCCTGCTCTCAATGTTGTTAGCTGTTTTCACTAACTTGAGACTTCACTGTGCGTACATTGTGTACATCTTATGCGTATCATGCCGAATCTGCTCAGGTCCCGTCGCTCTGATGCCAGCTCACTCCCGCAACATTGCTATCTGCATTTGCTCACGGCCTACTGCACTTATACAAGTATGAATGATTACGAAGGTGTTCGCTTTGACTTCGTACAGCTAAATTGGGACGCGATCGATCGTCATTGAATTTGACCACATAAGCCTTCACCAACTACGTTCAGAAACTCTATACTTCAGTCACTGGCTCGGCGGTGCCCCTAGCCATAAGATTTGACACGATGCAGATTATCGTGCCCTCCGCATACTCTTTCTTGGTCCTTCTGTTTAGACACCGAATCACTGCCATTCAGATCATCAACAATTCGCAACCCAATAAATAGCTTTAGACACAAACATACCGATCGAGTGTGCTCCATTTGGGAGTGCTTCACTGACTTTCTCTCTTTCATTGAGCGAAGGACTTGCAGGTAAAATGGGCAGGATTACTGGTCTGTCTGGTCTAGTGATGCTAAATGCAGGAGCCTCATCGGCTACCACTACTGCTTTTTTGTTTGAGGATGAAGAATACAATGACTTCGAGGTCTCCAATCCCCAGTCGATGGCTAGAGATGTACACATCTTAATCACATCTTCTGTCTAATCTCTTATAGTAGCAGTTGCTCAATTCTTGGTCTTTCAGCTTACGCCCACGTGTGTGCCATCGCAGAGTTGTTCTTATTGTTGTTATACTAACAATAGCGTAATAGTATTTGGAAGAGTTCTGTATGTGCGGCCGCCCATGTGCACAGCACATATCATCTAATCGCACACACATAACCATTTGTTATATATATATATATATATGTGTCTGTGTGTGTGTGTGTGTGTGTGTGTGTATATAGAGGTACAGGAATCGTTGGGACTGTTTAATATAAGTAATATTAGTAGTTATAAGACTGCGCATGAGTGGTTTCTGTTCGCTTCGACTGGCCATTTCAGTTGTGCCCGTCGACGTTTCTTGCGCTAAAGTCAGGGCCAGGCGCTGTCATTGGCCGTTTCGGAGGCTTTGTTTTGTTAATCGCTTTTAGTTCTTGCTCTCTACTCTCTTTCTCTCTGTATTTCATTTCTCTCTCTTCACGTATTTTTCTTGCCAATACCGGATGTATAAACGGCCGCCCGGCTCGAGTCCCGAGCCGTCGTGTTTGGTTCACCCTACGCAGTTCAATACCATGGTTGGCTTCTCGAGTATAGTAGGATCAATCTGTTTATCATTCTGTCGCGTGTTACACACTGATCCTCATACACTATTTCATCATTTGTCCCAGTACCGTCTCGTATACTTGCATTTTGCTCATATTATCTTGCCATGCTTGCTTAGAACTACTAGTAGTACATATCTGTCCATATGTGATTCTGTATCGCAACGAATCAGCGAATCCTCTGTATTTATTTATTTCTTGCTGTGCGCGGCAGGGAGACTCCTTCTGGTTATTTTAACATGGGTTGTATATACTAGAGAGAGAGACTAACAAGAATTTGGCAAATCAAAGAAGCTCTCGCCTGCCGAAACAGTACAGATGTGTTTTTACTGCTATTATCGTTATCGACAGTCGGCGGGCGTCTTCGCTAGCGCCCGCCGTCGTGATCCATAAAATCAGTGGGGATGTTACATATATATGCCTGTATATTCGAATAGTTGTAGCTATTTTATAATTCACCGGTATTTTTCGGTGGTAGGTTTTAGCTTTCTTAAAACAGTTATCTACAGTTGATCACCCTTGAAGTCCACTACATCGATCTCGTCTCGTTTTATATATATATATATATATATATATGTTCTTCATGAATTCCATGTGTTTTTTCATTCTGCTGACCGTTATTGTTACAGCTCACCTGTTGTGGTCAGCTAGTTTGCTTACCTTGTCATTTTCTGCAGTCGTCGGCTGTATCGGGCTTAAATCGGTGCACAACCTTCAGACAAGCATGTTTAGCGATATTTTAGGATTTACCATTCACTAATTCCAGCTTCATCACTGAGGCCTCCTCCACATCCCGCAATGGATGAACGAGTGCCTCGGAGAACTAGGCTGAAGGCGAAACTAAAGGTTTTATGCCGTCTTTGTGTCAAGGCCACGCGAGTATTTCAGCTTCGGTCATCGCTTGTTACCACTATATATGCCCTATATATATTAGATACGGAAAATATCACCAGCCGCGTTACTATATGGAGCAGATAGAATACAACGAATTGGTAGATGTACAGTCGCTGGCGAGGTGTTTTTATCTTCTGCACTCTTTCACTCGGTTGCTAGCCATTCCCATCAAAATATAGGTCCAAGTATAGATTTTGACCGCGAAATAGATTATTGTAAGAACTGATAGCTCATTTCTTTACGGTACATATTGGTTTTTCTTAGTGGTATTTATTAAATCCTGGATGGATGTAGTTGAGCAGTTGAGTTGGACGATAATGGAAATCGCGCGGCCTTTGTTTGTGCACCAACTGGCCGATAGTGGAATTGGTGGTCGCAACGGCGCAGTGCTTGTCGATAGCGAGCCGCAAACGCGTTTTGTATGTCGGCATAACCCGTAAACCCAGACATGTCCAAATCGAATGATCCAGCAGCCAGCGATAATCGATGATTTAATCGTATTCGGTTTCAGCGCTGTAGCGTGTTTTGCTCAAGGCCGGATTTTTTTATTGGCCTACCGCAAACAATCTGTTGTGTTTCCCGTTTGATTTCTCTCCGAACTTGTCCTTAAGTATGGACTTTCAAACCTATATTGAGGCCTTAAAGTTTTCCTTAACGTTCATGAACAGCTTGGATGAATAGCATCAGTAAGCCATGATTATGAAACCGCCTTGAGAGTGGGATGAACGAATTCATTTTTATGCAGTGCAGCTTATGAGCAAGTGTTTCCAACTGCTTCTGAGCGCCTGCCTGTTTCGCGGCCATTTGATCGTGTTTCTTAATGTAACATACCCATTGAGCTAATGGTGGCTTTTTTTCCGTTTCAGATCGATGCGTCCGTCGCTCGAGGTTTCTGGCTTCATACTATTCGTCTGCTTATTCTTGTCATCTGCTTCCTTTTCTGTTGCAAACGGCCGCTCGGATTATATATATATATATATATATATATATATATATAGAGAGAGAGAGAGAGAGAGAGAAAGAGAGCGAGAGAGGTGAGAAAAAGCTAGTGGTTTAATAGAGGCCACAGCCTCGCAAATTATTCGCAATGATGACATCTGTTACTGCGTCAAATACAAATTGAATGTTGGTCGTATCTGTGGCACACGTCATGTGGCAGTAGATTTCCTTTGTTGTGGACTTGTTCTTTGCCTCGAATTGCGCCTGGATGTAGGCCGCTGCCTCGCCATATTCTTGCGCCCCTGTGAACATTAGCGTGGGTGGAGAAAACGCAAAATGAATGAGAGAAGGAAACAAACAAAACGGTAACCAAACAAAATGTAAGTTCTTACTGGTTCCACTCCTACTTCGAGAGATATGACAAACATTCGCATTTAGCTTTGTTATGCGTGTGGATTTTACTATGAGAAAATATCAAGTGTGTTTTAAAGTAGCAACAACAATATATATATATATATATATTTGTTGTTTATATATAGATGCTTTAGCTATAAAGAGATATATATATATATATCTTTATAGCTAAAGCATCTCCGAGGCACTAAAAAATAGTAGATTTCAATGACTGTATTCTCTTTACCTGTATATTCGAGGAAGCAAATCGTTAGAGGGCTCTTCTTAATTTTCTCTTCGAAGAGATCTTTTTTGTTGAGGAACAGAATAATCGAGGTGTCTGTGAACCATTTGTTGTTACAGATGGAGTCGAACAGTTTCAAGGACTCTTGCATGCGGTTCTGGTAGCAAAGTAACAAAAAAACATTTGTAAAAGATTCGCGTACCAGTTACATCCCATCTGGAAGAAGTTCTTCCAGGAATTCGCACAACTGTAGGATTTGAAGCACATTTGTCTAAAACCTTTGCTTCCCACTGTTTTGCCATCAACCCATCAGGACCACTACACTTAAATCTATTTCGCTTTCACGTATAATGGATAGCTTATTGGCCCTCCATTCAGTATCGATTTCATTGGCAACAAGATCTGCATGTGAAGGGCTTTGGTGCAAAGGGCCTAAATTGGTTTTAATGGAATTCGAATGAAATACGTTTGGTGCATTTTTTTTTGACGCCCCTGATAATCTGGCAAAAAATCTGGCAGAAACGTAGACACCCCAGGAATTGGTTAAACGGATAGCAAGCACGTGCAAGTACAAGTTTCAATACGTGCTCCTCCCCTCGGCCCAAAAAACAATTTAGGCTCACTGATGGTTCAAGTACAAACAATACTAATTAACACTATTAATTATTCTTTATACTGAAAAAAAAGTTGGTCCGGTCGACTCTAGCCAAGTGTACTTATGTCCCTTTACATGAAAAAATTTCATATATATAATTTATAAATATGACGGTTCACGTTAACAACAACTTTTCAGTACTTACGGTTGTTTCATCTTCATGAAGCACTTGATCGTACTCGCTCATGGCCACGCAGAAGATAATTGCTGTTACATCTTCAAAACAATGGATCCATTTTTTCCGCTCGGACCGCTGTCCTCCGACATCGAATAACTTGAAGTTGAGATTCTTGAAGGAGAAGTGGACCTCAACGATGCCGGTGGTTTTCACCCTGGTCCGCAGAATATCTTGTTCCGTTGGCATATAGTCCTTTTTTCCTAGTCTGTCTAGGTCGTCAAGGAAACTGAAATGAGCGGCAGAAAACGGAGAAGACAGGCTTATCTCAGCTCAAAGAATTCAGATCCAAGGGAAACGAGTTTCGGATGTCAGTAGTGCTGCTTTCTAGGTTTTGCCTTTTTGGTTCTCAGTTTGCCCCATGGTTTTGTGCGTTCCTGGGTATCGGTGCATTCGTATTATTAATTTGTGAGTACATTTTCTTCAATCAATCAGCAATGTTACTTCCTGTTCACCAGAGCCGATGCAAGCGTCCTGCAAATACACGCTACTAAAGGGGTCTACGTTTATTTGTTCACAGCCAGTAGCGGTAACAATAACTTTGCACAGTTCCAATGACGCACTGTTAATTATGGCTTCACTCTTCTGTCTGGAGTCCAGTTTCTATACGTGTTTCAGGCGCGTTTTGTTACCCGTGTCAAACAGCGTCTCTGTAAAATTCTTTATGCTTGTCTGGATCGAAATCCTTTGTTCGAACCAATGTAATCTACAGAAACAATTACGTGATCAGCAACTCTGGCAAGGCAATTGACAAGGTGGACGCGCTGTATCCATTGGTGTCATCATTGCAACTCAAGCGACACGTGAACACCGGCTAGGTACACTATGGCTTGGAGAGGCAATATACAACCATTCTAAAATCTGCTGTCTGTGATTCTAGGTGCATGTATAGTGAAGGTACTTCCATCTAACAAGAGGATCAGGTAATGGTTTACCCCAATTTCAGCATCCTTATCGTTTATATAGAAGAACAGCATAAAGAAGACTGTCCATGACTAAATAAAGGTAAAGTGAAGGAAACGTGCGAAAAAAAAAAGACTATGGGTAGAAAAACAGGATTTCATGTTCTTATACCTAGCATCTATAACACCTCTAAGATTGCTGTCTATATTTGTATTAAGTGCAGTTGCCACAACTGAAAGAGGACCGAGTCACGAGCTGACTCACAGACAGAACTATTCTGCACGACACATACTATTTCGCGCTATCGTTGAGCTGATACTCATTACTCCGTGCAAAACACTCTTGTACGCCAGCATCAAGCCACAGTCGTCGCATGCCGGCCAACAGATCTTCGCTGAATGGTTCCGTGTCTTCCATCCGCGATACGACATCAAATACCTGTAAAAATCCAGTAAAGAAATGTAGATACACAACAAACATAACCAGTAGGTATTCGAGTAAGTCAAGAAATCGAGGAACTGTTAGGTTAGTACATCAACCAGTCAGTAAATGTTGTTATCGAACGTTAACATGTGTACGGTAAGATAGAACATATCGTTAAGTACTATAGAATAATGTAAGGTTCATTTATTAAATACGACTGTTATTTAATTTATATAATTTTAGCCCTATTCTTTCTTTGATTTCTGATGAAAAAGTTCATTACTTATGCGGTGTGCTGACTAGCGTCCGCCCTATTCACATGGTGGAAGCACATATACAATACAACAGCCGAAGACATCGTAGAATCGTATATCTATAAACATTCCTTTTCGCTGGCGACTAGTATCGCCTTAAACGAGATATAACAGTTTCAGCTCCCCCAGGTCTGACGTGACTTCCATCGCCATAAAGAGTGTGCTGATACTACACTAAATAATCTAAACTATAGTGTTGCTAATCTGGGTCGACCGTGACAGGCAATTATTACTCGCCACTATTCGCTGTTACCCCCACAGAAGCACTTTCAAGACGGGTATGAATTAGGTTAATCTAGACATGACAAAGAGAAGGCTCCAAACGGACTACGTTAGGACATATATTATTGGAGATGTCAACATATCAAGAGAAGTTAGTTGAGAAAGAAGGATTGAAGCAGAATGGGTAGAAACTGATAAAAGAACAACATTTGTAGTAGACGATGAAGAGTGAATGAAGTGCTAACGGCAGTGAAGAACATTATGCACGTAGGCCCGGTAGTCGGGCAGTTAACAAGCCATTCGAAGCCTAGGGCAACAACGACAAATGAGAACTCATAGGCAATACCTATTAAAGGATAAGATGAAAGGTGTAAGGCCACGTCTGGTTTTTCAGTCTTCATGTTTTAAACCTTGAAAATCAGACGAGGCCAAGCTAGCTTAGATGCAAACAAATCGGAACCGCCGTAGACAGAACTGTCGCCTTGCAACATAAAAGGGCAGCAAGCGAAAAAGCAAAGGGGCAAACGGATGTTCGGAAAGCAATGGCTGAAGTAACAATTGTCTCTTGTCTTCGTTCTAACTAAGTTTGCGATTTTGAGTGACCTTGAGTCGCAAAGCAAATTTCCCCAGCGTCTTATGACAGGAATAGACCAAGCAGCTTGTGCAGAGTGGCTACCAATGATGAGCCGAGACAGGACTCCGAGCTGCCTTTGTCACTTGATCCTTAATTCCGCTACCGCTACAACTACAACGGCGGTCGATCTTGTGACAAGCCTCAAGGATGAGCAAATAACAGTAGTGGTGGCGTTGGGAAAAGAGAACGGTATATCGAGTACCGACAATAGCGGAACCAGCGTAGTGAGCGGGAATTTGACGTCTACACAAGAGTTATCGTTTTATCGTTCTATTAGTGAAGCCGTTCGAGCAACAGCGACGGCAGCAGCAGCAGTGGCAGCGCTCCCGTGTTGTTTTCCTCTGGCTGCAGATTCGTGCCACCATATACACGCGCGGGTAACTGCAGCAGATCTGCACGGCCTGTTTTGCAATAGCTGCATACAACCGCTGGGAAAGGCTGCCTCCGTTGAGCGTCTGGCCTGCGAGCTTTGTATGATTTAGACTGGCGTGGTTGAGTCTGCCGTGCCATTGCCTTCTCGCGCCCACATGATCCAGTGACAACTGTGTGAGGAAAAAGCATCTTGTGGGGTCTATTAGCTCCTGGCTGTACACCGGTCTAACCATTTGCAGTCTTGATGCTGCTGGTAGACGTCAACGTGAGGCGGATGGTAAAGGCGGTGCTCCGTTCCCGGCAGATGAGGAACGAATGGAGACAGGACACGTGACGGGACCTAACACATACAAAATGAAGGAGCAGATATCGCGCCTAAAAAGAATAGCACTGAATACGGAGTTGTGGCCAAACATAAAAAGCACTACGAGATAAACCACTGGAGGTGGATACTGCTTGGAATGACAACTGCAAGTATAACAGTAATAATAGCAGCCGTAGCAGTGACAACAACGACGACAACTACAACACGCAAGTAAATAATCAGGCGACGTAGACGTACCATCTTAGCGTCGGCGTCCCGTTCGTAGGAGGAGAAGTTTATACTGAGCGACGGCATCGCTCGGAGGATGGCCACCATCGACTGGATCGTATTCGAGTATACGACCGGCTTGTACTGCTTGAAATCTTCCGGTGTGAATCCGCTATCATGAATGATCCTGTCAGGGGCAAAAATAGGACAGAACGACAGAAAGAAAAAGGGAGTGAACAAAGACAAAGAGAATGTAATTAAATGTGTGGACGTAATCGGAATATACATTGAATGTGGGACAAGCGAAATGCTTTTTAACAATATTGGTGAGTAAATGATTACACTAACATATGGAATGTTGCTTCTATGTAACTGTATATAATAGGGTGGAGTACGCGAATAAACAAAGTTTACCCATTTTTTTTGCGTATGCTATTAACTCGTAAATTATCTGTGCATGTACGTGTGTGTCAGACTGAACGAGGCCAACTTGCGTTACTTACTTCATCTGTTTGACGATGGTACTTTTTCCGGATTCTCCAGCACCTGTAAACATGACAAAACAAAAGGTAGTAATCGCAGCATGAGCCTTATCTTAGTGTACCATAAAAAATGGTTTTATTGCATAACATTTGCATCAACTCATGCTTTCATTTGCGATGTCTTCTACGATGTCATTTATTATTACATTTTATGTTGTGTACTTAGTGCATCTCGTATATAAATCCCACGACGCCACTTCTTCCACCGTGACGAAAGTACCTTTAGTTCCCCTCAAGCAACAAAGTTTAAAGAATCATATTAGCCGTTACGAGAATTTGGCCCCGAGAATTCTACTGTATCATAGTGTTGGCGGATGTAGTAACGGCAGTAAAAACGCGATTTTTGGAGCTCACATAATTCTTAGTTATTAGCGCTGGAATTCGAGCAACAACGAGAGTCAATGCTATGAGGTTTCCGCTAGCCAGTCCACTATACCAGTCTTCCGCAGCCTTTCGAAGTCCCGATCATCGAAGGTGGTGTAAACAACAACGTAGACGATGCCACTGCTATAGTCAACGCAATTTGGCTGTGTGAGGAACGCATAAAAACGTGGTATATAAGACCGCTTATGCCATAGGACCATTTGTGGATATCCGCTTGAAAGCATATCCCTTTGAGGAAGCTACCCGGGAAGAATATAATCACATCTTTCATTTGTACGTATATAGCCGCAGTTCCTTTGTCATACCCCAGCAACAACTGCATCGCAGACTTCAGCGAGCAGTAATTCTAAAAAACCTACCACAATCCATTACTTTATTCAAGCCCTCGTATAGGGTCCGCATTTATTTCCCTTTTTTTTAACGTCTTTAACTATTCTCGTTCCGAAGAACAAGTCATTAGAATTACCTTTTCGGTATAGCATCAAGCACTTGCCCCCACCAGAAGATTCTACCAGAGATGGGTCTCGCTGGGCCTGCAACATTTCTCTGACACATCTAGGAATCAGCACGGTGATAATATCTTGTAGTAGCCATTTACTGCCAGAAGCCAAAAATTTAAACCAGCGATGGCCGCATGTTCATGGTTACCATGGCAACACACTGAAAGGAACGCGTATTAGCACCCGGATGACGCAGCCGCGTGCTTAACCTATGTTCCACATGAAAGCCATTATCATGTTTATAGTTATATAATTGGGTTCTTATGGATATGCTGTACCAGATGCAAGTATCTGAGGGGTGCATAATATATTAACAATGGTTTGTCTATACAAACGAACGATGCGTGCAAATACACATGTTATTACTAACGTCCTAAGGACATGGCCGGTTTCAGATAAGCGAATCTCAGCAAGAGTCGTTACGTAGTATTTGTGATCCGACCGTGCTAATGTGCTTGCCTTATAAACTTAAGAACCAACGGTGGTCTGCGTTCGAAACCCTAGGCGAAGACATATAGTTTTTTGTGTTAGACTGAACTAACCGTCTGAAGTAACAATGAAGTAAGGGACGTAAAACTAGAAATACTTATTTTAGGTTTGCTGGATTGTACGGTGATGAATATAGACGTCAGTAGACGCGTTGGCACTGCGTAATATTCGCTGAATTAAAATGACGGATTAATTGTTGATCTATAATCGAATGAAGTACAGCGCAGTGTGGACTATTCATTTGTGTGTTTTGTTAGCTTGGTCCTCCTTTATCATGTGCACAGAATGGCGATTAGCTAAGAAACTCCTCTGATATGAGACAGATAGACCAGAGCTAATTCACTTTGTAAAACTCGTTTCATTGCATATTCAAGGGATGACGCCTATTCCTGCGGTTGCCACAGCATGTCTAGAAGTCTATTAATAGGCGAGATGCGACCGAATGCAAACTTTTGTATAGGCGTCTATTCATATCATATTTGCCTGTTCGTGTGCTCTACGAGAGCGACGCTTCTAAGACACGAGACACTGCGCAGACCGCTCAGCTATGTACACTTTGGCAGTCCCGGCGATACACTCGCTTGTCTGCAATGGAGTCTGAAACGATGCTGCTGCTATTGTCGCTTCCAGTATAGCTAACAACTTCCAACTCAAGCAGTAGACAATGAACGATGTAACGCCGCCTATCGTAATGGTAGTATGTGTGGGGTTGTCGCTGTTGGCGAAAAAAATTATAATAAAATGGGAAAGTCGTTTTACCGGGGTAGCCACGCCGGCGGGACGTGATGGCAGAAGCATGTCCAAACGCATGCATTCACACATTGTTGGTTAACACAAAGGGCGTCGACACAGAAGATGACGGCGTGCGCCAGCAAGCACTGTATCATCTGACTTTTTTACTGCTACATTTCTGTGTATATAGTTGCTTTCAGTCAGCCAGCGAAGGCCGTGTTGAAGAAAGGCAGCAAAGAAGGCACACGACACGTAGTTTTTAACTAAACCCACAAATATACGTAGGCAATCAGCGAGTTTGTGAAAATCCCGTATCAATTTGTCACCATCCATCATCCTTCCATCGGTGGGCACCGTGTATTAAATTTTCGGTTCGTTCACCGTTTAAGCTGTATGCAGGCAACGAAGTCCTATACTTCGCATTCGTTGTACCGGTAGCAACCATATGTGAGCAAGTTGCCATAGAGCTCGCAGTTTAAATTGCAACTTAGAATGCTTCCAATGGATTTGTCCTTTTACCGCCCTAGCTTTTCTCGACTCGCGAACTTGAAACTTCAAATTTGACATGTCGCGTTTCATGACAAATGCATGAAGCAGACATTTGCTAACGATAGGCTATGCTAACGTGTGGATCTACATGCAGTAAGTATAAGCAGGTTGAGATGCGTGTTCTATTTCCCATATAGATACGTTTTTTGTAGTCTCACAAGTACAAGTCAAATACAGATCAATCCTATTGGAATAATTCGTTTGGTTTATTGAAACTTATCGAATCATATGGTAGGACGTCGCTTTGTATATCAATGTCGGTTGCCGTAAAGCCGTCTCTCTCACGCAGCTATATATTTTCATATTCTGTTAAATTTCTAGGAACTTGTTGCCAAGCAACGCCCTGAGTAATATAAGGAGTCCTTGGTTAAGCAATTCTAGCCCACCTTCGACCCTTAGGTCTGAGATATCTGACAACACCTCGCCTATATAAACAGACGGAGCAGGTCACCGGAAAATAAACAAAAGAAAGCGCTACGAGGCTATAGTTCCATACAACAAACTAGTGATACGGGATTGAGTTGGCTAGAGTTCTTCAACATGCCTATATACAAAAGCCAAACCTTGTTGCCTAAGAGCGGTAAGAGACTATCTAAACCCGTGAGAAACCGACGTGCGTGCTGCAGGTCATTTGTCTATTGGGTAATCATCGAGTTTATTGAGAGGCTAGCACGCCTCAACTTGCCAACCGGATGTCACCGACAGAAGAAAGAAGCCAAGCGGCGATGTTGACTAGACGTCCAACAAGCGGTGCCGACTTCTCTTTCTGCACGACTACCCGTACGTTTAATCGTGCGTTAACTCTAGGCTGCTGCGACTTCCAGCCTGCTCCGCGCAACATCAGCATCTACTGGAATCAAATGTCTCAATAAATTATAGTGTTAAATGTTTCGAGTCTTACGTCATGTAGCGCGTAAAGCATTGCTTCAAATATAAACTTTAAGACCACTAAAATAATAACCACTAGTTTTGCCGCTGTCGTTGTGGCATCGCCACAAGTAACGGCTACCTCGACTACCTAAGGCTACCGTGCAGGGAAACGCCGGGCTCCGAACTAAACGCACTTTCTGCCGGATGCCGCACTGAGAGCAGCAGATGCATACGCCGTGATTACCGTGGCATTAACAATGTGGTACTGTGGCAGTTGCTGCTACTGAATTGTCGGCTTGGTCCGAATTGTAGAATCATTACCGTTGTTTGCGTGTCGTAGAAATAGGTTTCCCGGGGCACGCTGGAGTCCGCCAGTGTGTGCTAGGGTGCGCTGGCTCGAAGAAATCTGCAAGGAGGGGACAAACATGTCCTGTCGCCGCTGGACTGACTTCGTTGCAAAGATGCCATGCCCGGAATTACTTAAAATTTGAAAATTCAGTATGTAATATTCCAGTTTACTGACGGCATAGTGCTGTGCCGCTCAATATCTGATGAATACGTATAATAGCAATGGTGACCACTGGTAAGCAAGCCAACGCGTAATGACGAAGATCTTTCCAGAGAACAGGGAATGGCAAGTGACACGGTGAAATGGCACGCGGAGATGGCATGAATGGACGAAGGCGGCGGTGAAAGATCAATCTCTGAACAAACATTGATCAAATGTTTATTCAGCCGCTGCCGCTACTGCCTGTCAGTGTACCACTAGGAAACACCTGTTGATTTATGAAGCTGTCGGTGCAATGATGGCGGCAGCAGCAGCGAATCGATGATAGGTAAAAAAAATTTTGTTGAATCGGGAGACCTGGAACAACGTTGGATTAGGCAACGCAAGGGGGATTTGGTACCGATTCTCATATTTCGTTCCGCCAAATGCGCTGGCGCTAATTTATCAAGTCTTGGCTAACGACGCAGTTTTCAATGAAGAGGTAAATGCGGCCACCGCCGTCAGGGGAAGGCTGCTGGTGTAAAGTACCGCAGTAGCTCAGTCTACTGCATTGATATACGATAAAATACTATCCCGTTATTTTATCATTAAAACGCTGCAATTCTCCGTATAAACTATCTGTATAAAGGTCTAATTTGAGCATTTGTATACCTACTGCTGTGAATTTAGGGAAGCGTATTCTAAGATGAAAACTGAGACGGCTGTGTCCGCGTCTCAGATTCAATAGGCGAGCAGTGATTTAGGACAAGCTTGAAAAATGTGCTATTTATCTGGTAGCGACTGTAATATACAAATATACATTAATAATGGCAGAATAATAATAATAATAAATTCTATATATGCTTATTCAGAAATAGAATTTCAGCAAATTAAAGTAGGTCAAATGTTTGTTTCCGACTGACCATTTCAGGAAGTGATTAAACCATAGCATTTGTACAAATCGCTGGCAGGCAAAAAAATGTTCCACTTTCGGCCTTTTTAAACGTAAAGCGACTGCTGGTCTACAAACTCTAAATAATTCACTTGTAGTGTTACGGCAAACAACAAAGGTACCCATCTCATGTAATAATAATACTTATTTCTGGTAGCTCATATTTAAAACATATTGCTGTGATAATCCGTGATAACAAACTCTGTGAGAATCACTGAAAAACACATAGTATGGAATGTAGTCTCGTATTTATAATTAAAGATAATTTAGTCCTTTTGAAAAAAAAAAGACATTTGACCTCAGAAGGTAACAACGTGTTCTACGTTATTCCGTCATGTATAGAATCAAAATCATCGTCAGTAGCAGACGACAATCAGCAGCCAGACGCAATCGGCCACATAGGGACGTGTTCCAGAGCAGGACACTTTCGCATTAGCTTATGATTAGCTACTCCGGCGTATGCGGTTTTCTGGATCAGGTTCCCGTGTGTCGGGCCCTTAGATGCTCCTTTGCTTTTAAGAGGGCCCGCCCCGGTCCTAGCTGGCCGGGGCAATGGCCGGTATTTAAGAGCGGGGCACGGGGCGATGCCGCCGCCTGCCACCAAGAGCGGGAATCTCAGTTTTTAACCATAAGTGAAAGTACCAGGAAAGGCACAGCAGTTAGCAGTTAACCGCTCAGCTAGGCCTAATTAAATGACCGAGCTTTCAACTTTCTACCCACTTACCGGATAGCACGAAGATCCGGCAAGATTCCAAGATGGCAAGACTCAGGAGCTCGGAGGAGTCGTATTAGGTCGTCAAGATAAGCACATAAAAATATGTGTCCAATGCTATGGGTGTTGAGACGGAAGATGGCTTTTGTGCCGCTGCAACGACAGTACCGTATCACTCCGAACTGCCTCACCGGGTCGCGTTACTTTCCAGCATCTTATGAAGTCGTCAAACGTGGTTATTGTTTTGTGGATCTTGGTCCGACGGTGCGATGACTGCCAGGCAGAACATGAGGACAGAAGAACGGTGAAGCCTCTGGTCAACTAACAAAACGTTGCCAACTAACCACTGCTAGGTCTTTGGATGACTACCGGTGGCCATGCGGCTGCTAAGAGCTTAGTATTGTGTGGAAGTCAGCACTTTTACTACAGTTTCCACTGTTGCTCAAGAAGCCGGTTATTTAGTCACCGAGCAGCGTGGATCATGAGCGTTGAGAACTGTGGGGCAAAGCAAGCTATGGAAACTGTTGCACGAAAAAAAAACTATTGGCCGGGCTTGTTAGAGTAAATGTCGATGACCTAAGTCGTCCAGAACATACATGACCTATTCCACTTGCAGCAATAATAGCAAAGACAGCATGACAGCAGGCGCATGGTACTGGACACAACCAGCGACAACGCAGGCCAGCTCGTAGGACACAAATCTAAATAACTGTGTAAGACCCTAACTCTCGTCGTGGCGATATTAACATAAACCTTTGCTGTCCCCAAACTGCAATGCAAGGGTGGTTTAGGTACCCTGAAGCCTGCTTGGATTCGATAAAGCTCTTCCTATTATCCAGCCGCTTGATATCCCCCTCCGAGATTTCCAACGATGTGAGAAGTAATACAATGTACGACCAAATCTTCGCTGTCAGAACGTTCATCGTGAAGATAAACGGCATCGGATCTCTAGGTGAGCCTCTGGGTTACAGTTTTGTTCGGGGTATGTTGGGCAGAGGGTGATAACTGGTTATAAAGGAAGTGTACAGAAAAGGAATTGCCACAGAGCAAGAAGCAGTGCAGGCAAAAATCTTCCTTAGGGGGCGCGGATCACCTTAGAACGACAGTGAGTTTGTCGTAGGTGAGGCAAATAAACGTCTACAGTCATCTAAAGTCGCAGAAAATTCGAAGTCCTTAGTCCTCAATCCCTCTCCGTTGTCTTGCGTGGATTTCTTAGGTTCGTCTGTTTAGATATGTGGCCTCGCCTGGTTGCCCTATCAACCGGTGAATCCACCAACCTCAGTCAACCGGTCGGACTTTTCCCCTTCGACCTGGTAACTACTTGCGATGCCTGCCCCACCGCCACCACTGGCATAATCCCGGCGACGCCAATAACTTAGCGGATCAAGCTACCGCTTCGTCCGTCCCTCAGGTAGGAGCCATGTAGTCTGCCATCGTTCTGCGCCCGCCTAACAACATCATGTCAACTTGTCAGCGAGCTCGTACCACATTTTGATTTCAGATGACCACCTGCTGTCCCCCTGGATCCCATTCTGATGCAGGGACAAATACCACAGCAAGATAAGTCAAGATAGAGCAATATGCCTACGTGCCTACAGATGATTATGGACAGAACATCAAAGAAAGCTTCTCTCGTTGTTGTCATTGTCATACAGCAGGTACGGGCATTGCTAGACATAAACTAGGAATGGGGGTATATTCTGCCAATCGCGCTGCCGCCACCGATTTACCAGCATCGCCAATAGCCTCTTTGGAGAACAGATTTCCGTTATGGGTAAATCAAAAATGGGGAACGCAGGCGTTTTGCTGTGCTCTCTATTCGTGTATTGAATAGAACGTGGGACAAGTAGCACATAGAACAAGATATCTCTATAGCGCGATGCTGTTTCCATGTGAAGGAATAAACGGACAATATGGGGCGAATGGGCGGAAAGGTATCAGGAAAGAGCAAGAATGCGAGATAGTCTAACAGTACAGAAAAGTATAACCAAATATAATGCATGGGAAATCAATGGAGACGGTAAACGGCAGACGTATAGCAGACAAACAATTACGCCAGGAGCATTCGATTCACCGGCCTTAACGCAGTAGCAGCGACATCACAAGCAATAGCTGCTAAGCAATATGCACACATAGATATCTCAGCGTATATATGTATCTGCTAAAAATATACAAACCATTGATCGTGCGAGCCAAAAGTAGGATGCAGCCATCAATGAAGAAACAAACTGAACGATGACGAGTTACCTACGCGGGTGTCGCTTCTGCTGCCACAATGAACTGGGCTGAACTACGACCTCTTGAGTAAGACGCCTGTGGGGTTAGCATTAGAACTAGACAAGAAGAACAATGGACTATTCTTTTGAAACCGCCTGACGACCCACAGAGAACGCTTGAACGCTGAATACTGCTTCAGTTAGACGTTGAATGCTTAATGTACCACAGCGCTTTCGAACAACGCATACACACAACTTGTAAACATTTTGGGGTGCATTTGCCAGCGAGCTGGCGCAACAGAACTTTTGTGTAACAAAATGACTGAGCATGTGTATGTGTCATGCCATAATAATCGTAACTAACAGGCTACCGCCTATAGGTCTACTATCAGCAATCAGGTATGGCATGAATGCCTACGAACACGTATGCCCCATGGTGGTTCACAATCGTTTAGCTGAATATGAACGAAACCAGCAAAAGTGTGTTGAAGCTAACATTGCCAAAACAATGTTGTTGCTGCTGCTGCTGCTGCTGCTGCCATAGTATCTGCTGGGAGTAGCGACTCCTACGGCTCTGAAGCGTCACTACAAACGCCTATGAATATCTATCGCAACAGAGCGCTGCGAGAACGCGTTACCGGATTTCGGCACAAGGCACCGGACGGGCTAGAAAACGGCGGTCAAACGAAGCGTATTTGCCTCAACGTACAACAGGTGTATGGACCCATCGTCAAAGTCTATAATTCCGTTCTATTGCTGAGTCGCTGCGGCAGCTTTAATGCTTGTCAGGTCGGCTAAGTTTAGCATGGACAGCGTGTTACTACTATGGACGTAATGGTAATACACTAATGACGAGATACACTTTTTGCTGTTCTTCCTGATATTTGTATACATGAGTGATGCCATTGCTAGCAACCCGACACGAAGCAACCTTAGAGATCGCGCTGCTTGGCCGCCGAATCAATAAATAGGTAAATAACATTTAGGCAGCAATTGATCTACGGAGAGGTAGTAAGATATAAACAAATGGGCTTGGCCTCGTGTAGATTATACAGTATCTCATCCATTTTACACTGGAGATCAATCTGTAAGGGCAGCTCCTGCCGCTGTTCTGGTGCTGCTCTGTTATCGTTATGAATTGGTACAGAGTTGAATATTGTTGTTGACTTCGGTACATCGTTCCCTTCTCTACCATAGCTTAATGATCTCAGGAATGAAATCACAGGATCACGATAAAGCGTGGTTACGGTATCGTCATCGTATTTGACATCGTATATATGCATAAGCACATAGCGAAACGGACGAACAAATAACGCTTCGTAAGCATAGGAATTGATAGAGAGTTTACCTTCTATTTGAGTATATTTTATAATCTACAGAGGGCCATAAACTGATGTTTTTCGTTGTAGGTCGCATGCTGCTAGCATTGCTTGGCTCGGATGGCGGAGGGTAGCCCCTTTCAGCAGAACCACAAAACAAGCAATGTAACTATTACCGAATTCGAATCGGACCACCTCACCTCACCAGGAGCTGTTAGGTTTTAATACAAGCGAACAAGTTACCCTTGCATCTTCAGGGGGACTTCACCTCCATATGAACAAATCGTGAATCGCTGCTATTAAGAAGAAGGAAGAAGAGAACATCCTTATTAAAAGAAAAAAAAAAAAAAAAAGTATTTAGTTTAAATAAATGATTATATCGATAAAAAAAAATCAACTATTTTTTCAAATTTAAAACTGATATCTGCGACAAAGCGCTGTATTGTCTGTCTACAGTTAACTGCAGTGGAATAGTCAAGGAAGCGACTGCCTCAGATGGTTCATCTCAATACAATTTATAGAGCTTTTGAGATGTCTTCGATCAACTGGTGCAGGTCGAAATGGACGAACCGTTTGTGATCGCCGTTGCAAATGGTCGAAAAAATACTCGATGCCTTTTTGGCGGGTGCGTGCAAATACAGTAACGTTACTGTGATTTATATGACTGTTGCTATGATACGAACTCGTGCTTCCGGAGAAACGCAACGGAGAAAATCTGGAACTTTTACAACCTGAGCTTTCCAATCTCAAGTGGCGTAGCTATGTAGATATAATCCGTATGGTAGTTAGATGTTGAGAAAGTTCAGAGCAAAAGGTCACCCCTTGTTTGAACTATGCTAGATCATATGGGTATAACTGCAAAATGTAAATCATATAAGGTCGATTATATTATAGTGACCAAGTGTCACAATCGATAATACTGAACCTGTTGCCCGCGATGTCACGCTATCTTTAGCCATATTTAGCATATTCGATTGTTTGTAGCGCGTTCGATGCCCGTATCAGCTGAATTGGCGGGACACGTTTCGTACACTCGCAGTGAAATTACCATAGTTTAACTTAGAGTTGACTTTTATACAGCCGTCTGACTGTATGACGGGTACTGTTATGCTTAGTAGCTCGTAAAGCATCTAAGAATTTGCAGGCGTTCTATAAGGTGCAAAATAATCGACACAGAATTTCAAAGTACGCCAATATACCGCGTCATCAATACCTCTTCAGGAGTGTCTGGTCGGTACAAAGCCGCAATTGGTTTTTTCTTATTGTATGTTTGACTAAACTACGCTGGTTGTCTAGAAGCCAATGAGCGCTGCTGGTAGCCTGGTATATACGACAGGAAAGCTTATGCCAACAAGGTGTCGAAAGTACAAGTCATTCACGGTATGGTTAAGGTTCCTGCAGACTGTCAATGTATGAACGAGCTATTGCGCGGAACGTGATTTGTTACGCATTGAGTGTCCGATACCGCGACTAAAAGCTTTTATTTCCGGCGGATTGAAACGCCAAAACCCGTAACACGTGTTCACGTTATTAACCCTTACGAATACCTAAAAAACTATAATCTAAGCAAACGTTCTATATTCGATGCTCAGTACCAACACTAGCCATTGCTGATCTACTGACTTCGCGTTGTTCCGGCTTGAACGAAGTGATGTCTGAAGGTTTCATCCTAAATACCTGTCAAATTTTCGTCTACTTACCCAGCAGTAGGAGTTTGATGTCCTTTGCTGCTTGGATGCCGTCCTCCTTAAGGTTCTTCTCAATCTGCTTCGAACGGGCCAAAGCCGCCCGTTCCTCAGCTGACATAGCACACCCCATCTTGGGCTTTGTTTAGGAGGTTCGTTTGTGTCGTTAACAATCAGAAGGGAATAAGACCTAAAACAGTCACGCGACACTTGCGTACGCAGCAGGCTTGTCACTTCACGAAGCCACCGACAACCAAATAAATCCGGTTAGCTTTCGGCCGCTATATAGCCGCCGGCTTTCGACTGGTTCGGGCGCTGCAAAACAAAAATTACAATCATGGAACAGATTTACGGCAGACTCTCGTAGCTAGAAGTCTATCCACAGTCTGGCAGTCTCTAGGTAGAATGTTTAAGTGGAATTGGTCCACGAAGCTTCGCTTTCGAGGGCTCCTATTTCGGTGGGGCTACACTGGCTCCAACTATAAGTGGTAGAGCAAACCGTAGAATGCAACTGCGTAACGCAATGAAGGCTTCTCTATCGAGTGTGTAATCCTTCGATGTTGGTTTTTTGCTATCGTCCTTTCCTTTCCCAAAGTAGCATGCATATATATATATATATATATATATATATATATATATATATGTATATGTATATATATATATATGCAGGTATATTTATGGGTTGTCACTATTGTTAATGTATTTATCGTAGATATATTAGCAAATGTATTATTAGCATTACTGGCTGGCAGTGTCTATAACTGTTCGCAGATCAACTTGTGATGACGCCAATCAGTTAGTATGTAATCAGGACTGGTACGTCTTGCAGGGTAAACTCGTTGAGACTTCTCTATTTCTTATTTGTCGGCTATTTTGTTTGCTTCATTTTGATTATCGAAAATTAATGAACAATATATAAGAGCGCACTTCACTGATGCTAGCACTTGAAACTTAGTGGTTACACACACAAGCGAACAGTCGAACAACAATCGTCCTTCTTTAATCATAGAATTGTATCATCACGTCGACACGGTGTTACGTTCAACACTTGTTGCTCGCTAGCGCACGATCATCAACCGCTTTATTATTACTCCACTCTTTTTTCAGCTTTTTTAGGCCTTCCCATGCGTTGAACCACTTTTGCGTGAACACATACCAAAACAGCACTAGAATCGGCTCCAAATAGGTGCTATCTATCCATTGATTTTGACATCGATAGACTTCCGTTAAACCGTTTGACAACAACCTTTTGTGGCAGTTTTCGTAGCCACTCACCCACAGCTGGACTCTTTTGTTCCGGACTTATTGACTTCCTTAGCTTGACCGTCACCGAAAAACTCTAACTCGAAACCCTGGTCCTGACCTGTGTTGCAGCATCTATTGCCTGCACTACAAGCACTGCATATATCACTACTTGGTTTTCGTTTAGCTACCGTCGTCCGTACTGTAGCCCCATTATGACTTTTGTGGCTGTCGTTTTTGTTGATGTTGCATCAGCGTTGCTGTAACTCATCAGAACTCGTGCCGCGAAGTTCAGCTGACTACCCTTTATCTATCTGTATGCCTGTCTCTTTCTTCTGCTATATCCTGCACTGTTGCATTGCCTCTCTCTGTGTCGCACCCTTTAACAAACTATATAACAGCCATAAGAGCTTTCGCGACAGAACTACGTAACGGTTAAAACGACAAATACGCCAGATCGTTGCTTTGCGATAATGCACACGCCTTTACCGGTAGCGCCACCGACAGCAGAAGTCAGCAGCAACCGGTCACGCTACGGGAAAAAAGACCCTCGTGCCTTACCTTCCCGTACAGGAGTAGCTGTAAGCAACGGAAAATAGCCGGTTGCTGCGGCCGCTGTCTGTTACCGCGACTCTGTCCCCCCACGCACTCGACTGCCTCACCCTTTCGAGCGTAGACTATTAAGGCCTTCAATTGAAGTTGTTGGTAAGCCTTCGCTGTCGTCCGCCACCGATCACTAAAACCATGAACCTATTTTTGGTCAACTACCGTACGCAAACCGCGTGTGTTCACTCTCTTCTTGTATGTACCACAGCACTAAACCTAACATACGACGGCAGGCGCTGCTTGTCGAAGTGGTCTATGCAGGCTGCAGGCCATAGACTGCTGCAGGCCGTTTAGTAGTTTTGCCGTGCCGTTCGTGTGCAAGCTGGCTAACATTGGCTGACTGTTTCTTTTTCCTTTACTGTCTATCCCTCTCTTCCAACATTTATCAAGAGTCTCTGGCTGCTCGCTTGTCGCACTGTTCAATGAACGGTCTGCTGCTGCTCAAACCACACCAAAAGCAGCCGATGACTATGAACGCTTATTGTTTAGCGCTTGCTGGCTAACGCTCGAGACACACAGACGCACACAGACACAAATACCCAGCCACCCTCTTTCCTCAATTTCTCGCTATCGCTTAATCCCTCAATGAACTCCTTGTTTCTTTTTGAATTTGTGTGCAACGAGCGAATAGCGGCGGGTCGTTAATAGCTTAGGCCCTGCTGCAGTTATAAGCTGTTGTTTATTCTCACTGTTTGATTTTCTCTGTGTTTTTCGTTGTTTCCTTCGTTGTTGCGCTGCCTACGCATCTCTGTGTCGTCCCTATCCGCTTCCGGTTGTCTGTGTTGTGTTCGCGATCACTCCGTTTGCAGTCTCAATATCTGCCTCGCTACTTGTTTATAGGCAGAGACCGCATCAGACGATTGCGACGAACGCGGCAACGACCAATGTCAACATGCGGAAAGGATTGTGTTACCAGTCCAGCAAGCGATAGTCCAAGCAAACGAACAAAAGACGCACCGATAGTTTGATTCTGCTTAAAGTTTGCTGCTGCTGTAGCTGGGCTGAACGCAGTTAGCCAAGAAGGCCGACTGGAGTTCGGCTCCTCGCGTAGTTGATCTACGTGGAAGGTTCACAGTGACGTCTCCCGCAAGCTGTCGACGTTGGGATATTGGCGCGACTGTCTTTTCGACGCGCCACTTAAAACTGCCGTGCGTTCCGTGAACGAAACTTGATTCTGCCTCGTGTTCGATAGATAGATTTAGCAAGAGAACGCCAACGATGATGTTGACGCTCTGTTTAAGCCGGCTTATAGCGGGCGCACACAGTGACAACTGCACAGAGAATACCTGTGCGTGTCTTGGCAATCGTTGCACCCACAGATACAGCTCAGAGTCGCTCTTTACCGTGTGTGTACGTGTGTGTGTGTGCCTGTGCGTGCATGCATGCGTGTCTGTATGTTACTGGATATTCGTTATTGGCGAACCAAACCGTTGTGCCAGATGAATGGCTAAGTAAGCTAGTTCCAGCAGCGGCCCGAGCGCGTGCATGTATAGGGCTTTGAGTGGTGAGTTAGAACCACTGGTAAAGTTACCGTCACCGCCGATATAACAAAAGCAGCAGGTTGTTTCGCATAGTCATTTGCTTCAGCCTGCGGGTGTGATTCTGTCGCCGCAAACGTCAGAAACTTGGGTATGGACGGAGAGCGATCCGAAGACGACGCCTGTGATGCTTTTGGTCTAAACGCGAGTGAAATTGTTAAGTAGCGAGCTGCCACCTATCGTGTCGATTCTATACGACGACTTGCCGTCGAACCTTAGCTAAGCAACGCGGACGTTAAGAGGATGACGATTTGCTCATTGCTACAGAGCAGGCGTCGATCCGCCTGTAGGAAGATATTCTTCAGGTCGCACGGTGTTGAAGTGTGTAGGGCTTTTAGGTCGACTGGGTAGAATCGAACGCGGAAATAAATCCCAGTATTTACCAAGTGGTAGTAATTTAGATAATTATTTATTCGCTCTTTCCCCTACTAGATCTCTCGGTATGTTTTGCACACTTCGTTTGCTTTTCTTTCTGTCCTGTTGACTTGCTTCCACTGTGGCGACGTGTTTGCATGTTTTCTTCTTCATGCAACTGATCACTTTTTACCTTGCGGTCTCACAACCCCCCTATGTTTGCTAATCTGTGTTCTGGTTCTAGGCAAAGTGTATCCGCTTTTTCTATGGCTGTACGTGCTGTTGCTTGGCTCTCAGTGCCTATGCGGCTTACGGCTATGCGATAATCCTTTATTTCTCCTGAGGTTCACTAATCCGTCCGCCTTTTAATATACACATTTTATTATTGATTTCATTCACGTGTCTCTTTGCTGCCGCTACTGCTGGCTGAATCCCTCGCCTTCAACAGCACTCCTCTTTCTACTCCACTGTTCTGCGTGAACAGGAGCAGCGTTGTATTATCCGAGACTCAGTTACGCATACACACACCCACACATTCACACACACACACATACACTCTCACACACACACACACACACACACACACACACACACACTCACACACACACGCACACACACACACTCACACACACACACACACAACCCCCACAAGCCACAAACTTGTCGCCTACAGTTCACACCGCTGGCGCCTCCGTATTTCAAATACACAGTCACCGATCTTTGTGGGTTTGCCCTTATTTCCCTTTGGGCTGACACTTTTCTTTGATGGTTTTGCTTTTTTTCCGCTTTGTTTCGTTTCAGTCTATTCCAGCGCGATCACCACGCTTACACCCCGCCACCGCTTACACTTTTCACACACACGCTCTCGTTCGATGCTCTATGGATGCTGTTTCTGCTGATACCACTGCAGTTGATGCTGTTTGTATAGCTTCTGTTCCGGCAATTGCCGCATGCCGGAATACCGACCCGCTGCTGATCGCTGGCCAATGCAATCAATTCTCACCGCTGGACGAGTGATCTGCTTTTAGATGGGTGAATCTCGCCCTTGCCTTTGATGCATTCAGGTAGCTATTGGTGACGTATCAATATTGCACAATCGCTCCGGATCGCGCGCGTGAGATTCGCTATTGCTGTCGTCTTGTGGATGATGCTTAGACTCCAAGGCCAAATTGAACAGTTTGCAAAGTTCTCTCAGGAAAAATCAGCACGACAGAGCCAGATGTTGGGCCGGTCCGTTGTGCGACCGCGTTCTGTGCAGCTGCAACTGCAGCTGGCGTTGCAGACGCAGCTGCACTCCGTGTTCGTCACCTGTGGAAATACTGCCGAGTTCGGCGCTTCTCCGGCTTAGCTGTTACTGTTGTTGGACAATCGGTGCTCGCGTTTAGCGCCTGCCTTGTCCTGTCTTGTCTTGTCCTGGTGATCGAAGGCTGACGTTAAGCGCTAGCTGCTGTGATGTAACTAATCCGCCGTTTAGGACCTTTCACACACACACACACACACACCGAGACAGGAGCAGAAAAATACGCTTGGACTCGCGTACGCGCAAGTACGAGCGGGGAACAGACAAGCCAAAAGAGCTAAGTGACCCCACAGGTTTTTGCAGGTTGCTCGGAGAATAGGGGGATCGAGTAAAGGGATTCAGCGGTTCCTGCAGTTGTTGCAAAGGGGTTTCGAAGCCTAGCCGTCGTTCTCTGGGGTTCCGTCGCTCGCCGTTCTTGCAACCTGTGAACGGTTGAAGTTCGCAGCTAAGAGGCCGTTGCTTTGTGCGCCGTTACGCGATGTCTTTGTGCACTACTAAGTTTATTGCTCCCACCAATATTGTTTCTGCTGCAGCGACTCTTGCGATGGACGCTGCTGCGGTTACAGATGCTGTTGACTTCTCTCTCTAGGGCGGGTGCACTCGCTGCGAGTCAGCTTTTAGGAACTTCGGAATTCTCGTGGAAAAACTGCATTGAAAACAGATGAATAGGCTTCATCAGCACGGCCTCGAAGATCAGCAGCACGGTATTCGTCGCAGGAGAATGCACGCTACCGCCGTGACGTTCACTAATAAACTATCGTTTGATGGATAGTTATTTAGCTGGTCGAGTGAAGCAAACGCACACACAGCCGTGTTGTTTTCCCTTGCTTTTTCTTTTTGTCTCTGTGCATTCGCACGAAGTCGATCAGCAGCGACGACAACGACAACCACCGGTGGAGGACGCTTCTGTTCGCTATCACCGGAAACTCCACAGGCGCTCACTCACTATGCTGCATTCATTGCCACACGGTGCTTAGCAAAAAATGCTTGCAGACAAGCCACCTGCCACGGATACCAGGAGCACGGAGGAGCGTTGCGGCCCTCGCTTCTTTTTCTTCTTTTCCAACTACTGCAGCTACTGTCTTTGCTGCTGCTGCTGCTGCTGCTGCTGTTGCTGCTAAAAATCCTATCAATTCAGTCTTGATCCTAACGTCTACTCCGTTGGTCGTGTGGAGACTCGCTTTTGACGACAAGAATACGTCGTCGTTGACGAGGGACAGTCAGCCAACAATCGAATCCCAAACCGATGCAAGGTTTGCACAAAGCGTACGTACCGTGTTCCTCGTCGCACGAACGTTGAGGAACCTAACTACACTCGGTTCAGCAAACCAACAAAGAACCTGGTCGCAGGCAAATTTCTCAACGACTCGAACCGAATCAACGACTACGACGAGAAGGCCTCCCAGCGAAAATCTGACCAACTTGATTCTCTCACACACACTCACTCACTCGCCACTGCACGGTCTCTCCTAAGACGATCCACACTCCACCGCCAGCAAGTGAGCCAACCGTTCTCTGCGCTACTACGCCCAGCCTGCCTGCGTGCCGCTTGCTGATGTGCCCCGAGCAAGCGCAGCAGCCACCCAGCTTAGCCAACCGTACCAGTCACATTCAGCGAAATCCAAAATGGCGGCGTCGTCGTCGTCGGAGGCAGATCGAGTGAGCCTGTGAGGGAAGCTGGGGTTGGAACTGCTCAGTTCAGAAGGCGGCAGGCAGGAAAGAGAGGACGGGAGGGAGAGGACGGGCGAGAGAGGAGCACAGAGAGCGACTAACTGACAGGCAGAAGGAGGTCGCCGTCACACCAGTCGCTGAGTCGGCGCCTAGTTCACAAACGCCCGCCCGCTGCTTGCAGCTGACAACAGCAAGAGGGAGCAGAGCAAACGAGTGCCACAGCAGAGCAAACCGGAGCAGCAGAAAATTGGCGCTCACTCAGCATCAGCGACGGTGGCGACGCCGGCACAGCAAGATTGCTGTGATGCTCCTGCCGTCTGTGTTGAGGCTGTATGACGCTTATATGACTATAGGTATAGTAAACTCATAGGCGACAGCAGCGCGGCGGGATGGTGTTGCTGGATAGGCCGCTCCTTGACTCTAGTACGGCTAGTCAGAGCCATGCCAAACGAGAACGAAAAAAGAGAGACGAACGGAAAATGGCGAGAGCGAAAAAAAGTGAGGAAGGGGGAGCGAGAGCCGTAGCTGGCCAAACCCCCGGCGCTTCCCATTTCGTTTCCCTTCAGGGCTGCGGTAGCCCTCGCAGCTACTGCTGGCGGCTTCCGCCATGCTTACGACTGGTAGTATGGTATTAATGATAGTACTAGCAATGCAGCTGTGGCCATCGGCACCGTTCCCGTCAACCCGAACGCTAACCCAAAAGAACACGAGCGCCATATCGCGCCGCTGGCTGGTTAGCTCGCGCCTGCCTGCAGCAATGCATCCACCGCGCCATCGTGGGTTCTACCGAACAGCCGGCAGGTGGCGCTGTCGGCGGAACGCTTCCGAGCTAAGCTAATGGGCGCGGCGGAGTCGGCTGTGTCCTGAAGAGCAGCGGCGGTTGCGGTGGAGAAGCACTGGAAAGCGTCAAGGCGGCACACATTGAAGCCCACACAGTCAATAGAGGGATTGCATAGGACTCCGCTGCTCCGGCAGCCGTTGCTGCTGCTGGTGAAGTTACCATCGCATCAGAGAACTCCAGTTCTGTGTTGATTGTGATAATGCTGCTGGTCCCTACTAACGCCTAGCCCTGCAGCTTGGTGCTGTGGTGGCCGTGCTGCTGCTGCTACCTCTTAGGAGCTCGGCCGGTTCTTATCGCTCCTGCCGTCACCCGCAGCTCTAACAGCGACAGTGGCCTGTCTAGGATCAGCCAGCCAGCGCTTACTCGTTGTCTCTGAGCAGTAGCGGAACGCACTGCGTTCTACTGCCGAACCCGTCCGAGGGACAGCACCCACTGACGGAGCAACCGATTCATCGAGAGAAGGAAAGCCCGGATATTTTACGGAAAATTAAAGTAGGCTCGCGCTACAGCCAGCGGCCCGCTACCGGCTGTTCTATATGGCCTCCGCGCCTCAACCTTTTTTTTGTTTGCTAGGTGCTCGCTGTAAGGTTTTCACAGGCTTGATGAGGGCGAAGTTCAAGACAACGATGGAGAGTTTATGGAGCCAGTGTAGTATCGTCGCCTATGGCCTGTTTTGCTGCTGGGGCCTGCCGAACGCGTCGGCTAGTTGAGTGACGGAGGCGCGGACTGGCGAGAACACGTAGTATTCGGATCGTTTGAACTGATTACTAGAATTGACTGTCAAAAAGTCAGATAGTTGACTGGAGGCAGACACGAACGGAGTAAGAAGAAAAACAAAGAAAGTAATGTAGTAAGTTACGTGTATAATACGCTGCACATGTGAGGGACTAGCCATGTGATTTGCCGGAATGCATGCATTTACAAACAGATGGGTCACGGGCACCCGGACGGGCTGTATGCAATTTTTGGACGGTGTTGTAAAGGGTCGCACTGCAGCATCAGGTTTAGCGAGATCAGAAACGAGTTCAGTACTATACAGGCCCAAAACAGAACAGCGGGCAAAGCTAAAAGAAATTAGTGAAGGGGTACAGATAGAGAATATGGATTAAAACATTCGATTGAAATGGTGACCGGCATTTTTCCGGAAACGGATTTAAGATACCACTCAAGTACTATAAAAACGATGCGAAAGATGTCATGGTTGAAAACGATTTAGGTCAAGACACCAGTGAGTGGACTTGAAAGATGAGGGTAAAATCACGTTTTTTCCTTTAGAAAATGTACTTTTTATTATGAAGCTTTTATTAAGTTATGTGTAGTTTCCTTGCCGATTTCCCAACGATAGAAAATTTCGCAAGAACAATATTATTTTTATTTAAATAGAAAGCAAGCTTTATAAATTTTTTGAATAGACGGTTTTGGCACCGTCATTTGTTTATTTCTTACAAATTACATTGGAAATTTTATGGTTGTTTTTAAAACAACGTTTCCGCTATACTTTTACTTTTGGTTATAACTTTGCCTCCTGGTTCTCGTGTCCACAATAAAATAGCCAAAACATTTCAATACAATGAGCTGTGCTATAACGAGAACTGTATGTCTTAGTAAAACCTGAACACTATAGTACACAAATAATTTATATAAATTTTAATTATATCTGCTTTTGAATTTTAGGTTTGTCTGTGTAGAATTTGCTGGTCATCCTACCATGTCCCGCTGGGTCTTAATCTTATAGCTTTGATGTCAACAACATCAATGGCACTTTATCCCCAGTCTTTATCAGTGATTTATAAATTTTCGACACCTGCAAGGCGCTTGGTCCATAAAATAGAAATCCATTAATTATAAAGAAACTCACAAAGCCTACCAAACACAGCTTTTCATATTATTATCACTTAATCTCGTTAATCCACCCAAACACTATATCACTGAATTTTGCCAGTTTTTTAATGTTAGCAAATGGGCGCTTAGACTTGGTTCAACATAGAGGTAAAATAGCAATGCGCTAGTTAGGGCTCACCCTTGGGTCAGTGTTGCCAACGGAACCAAATCAGCGAAGTTTGCTCCGCAGAAGCTAGCCCGCACGCCGACTGATCGTTTATGGTAGAACAGGTTTCTTTTTGGCCATAGGAACGTTGGTGTGGAACGCAGCGGTTAATTCACTGGTTGCGTTTCCCAACCCCCTTTACACTTTGTAGGGCTCTGTCTGTCTATGCGCGTGTATTTGTGTGTTCGACGCCTACGAAGGCTTCCGTTCTCGGCTTTTGATTAGAATGGTATGTGGCAATTGACAAGACCGAGAAGACGGAAGCGACGACGGAGCCCCCATAAACAGTTTGTATCTGATTCATAGGTCCCAATGAAGAATCACCTCTCTCTCACCTCACTCTTGTTTCCTGTCAAATCCCTACCTTTGCCCTTTCTTCTCTTGTGACTCCTGCTCATGCGGTTTCTATGTCTGCTGGTGGCTTCACGATGCGCGGGGCCAGGAGATTGCCCCGGCCCTGTGGCGGGCTCTAGTGCTATGGCTGTTGCAGTTGCCATCGCTTATCTGGATTTCCGCGAGGGCAGGCAATGGCGGCAGTGGCGGCGGTGGTAGTAACAAAAGTAGAATCCGGCAAGTCGGTTGACTCTATCAGAAATCCGAAATCCCTATTTCTCGTTCCCAGTCTGTCTATTCGTCCAGCTCAGTACACAGGTCCTATGTGTTCTTCCCGCTGTTGCGAGTTGCCGGCGTTTCCGGGGGTGACTGGGTACTGGTTTATGGGCGTTTGTTTGCTGTTGGAAAGCCGAGGTCGAAGAAACCAGAACCGAGGTCCACCATGGTTTCTAATCCTTTTCCCAAGCTCCTTTCCGTTCTCCTTTTTCCTACCAGCCCCAAGCTTAGGCGGAAAAGGATGGACACAGCTCAGACATTCGACTCGCTCCCTGTACCTGGGTCTGAACGACTGCCAGCTCGTCTGTTTCTGCCGGTTTTAAAATAGTAAGCGTGCGAACATACATAAGAAAGGTCAAACGACCCTCAGCAACGGCTTGCTACAACATGAAGAAAAGGAAGGAGAAGATAAAGATTGAAAAAAAAAAATAAATAAAGGCAGAAAAGAATAGAGAGAAAGAAGAACATAGAAAAATAAAAAAGTGTGTTATTGCTATAAAGAAGGAAGCAGCTTGTACAGCAGGACGAAGGACGAAACTATCAGCAGCGACGGATTCGGCCTGACGCAGCTGGCTACTTATGGCCAAGGCCTTAATCATTTTTCCCAAGTTAAATAGAGGTAATCTGTGGAGCGCATTCGTCACACAAGCTTTGGAAGAAAGAACTCTCGAAACGGACTAGAGGGAATGCCGAGTTCGGGTGCTGTCAGTGCTAATGGTGGTAATCGTGCGAGAAATAAAATATAATAAAGTAGAAAACATGGATTTGCAGTCTGCTTTTGACCTGTCCGTTTCACCACACGTTGCCTTCTAGACTAGGATATCTTGTTGGGGTTCGCCACCTCCGCGAACTCACTGATTTACAGACCGCAATATCTGTCATATGGCTTCGCACACTAGGTGAAATAAACAAGGAAATTAAAATCCGAGAGGTTTCTAACTAGCAGTTTCGAAAGCAGTATTAATAAAAACTCGTTAAAAAGTAGATGTTCCTCCTTGAGCTTCCAAGGTCAAGCCGGCAGGACACGCAGGCCTTGCTGTCGTTCTGGTGTCAGTTAACAATGACCGCCTGAATCTGAGCATAGTTGAGACGACCGCAGTGCAAAATCACGATATGACCAGTTTTTCCGCCCTTGTCATTCACCCTCCATCAACTCCTATACGTATCTGGCATTAACGAAGCCAGCGGTTTCCAACCTACATTCTCCCTTGCTGGGAATGTGAAAACTCATCAAATGGAAAAAGCCGTCCTAGACGTTTTCTGGAACGATCCCAAAACTGTTTAAAAATCTCCACTAGTTATTTCGGCCGTACTGAGCAGACAGTTTTGTTATAATATATCAGTAATTTATCTAGGCAGCGAAAAAGACTAGTAGGAACGTATCAGTTAGTGTGATACAAGCGAACTGCCTAGTTAACAAACGGGTGTGAAGCCTTAAAATTTATGTTCATATGATTCTAAAGGGGAGCAGTGACAGCTTTTGGGGGTAGAAGAGAACATCCGAAGAGATAATAAAAAGTTGAAATATGACTAAAAATAAAGGTATAATAGGTACACCATTTCGAACAGGTGCGATCTAGTTCCTTTAAAGGATTCGAAAATGCGATTTTTATTGGGTATCTGCTTATATATATTATAAATGTTAATGTCATTATCTGGTATAGTAAAATAGTAGTAACAATTAAATGTAAGTCTATCGACCAACTTGCTTGTTAAAAACATCCGTATTGGCTTGAAAAGTATTGACCGTTTTTAGGCCAGAAAAATA